AAGAAGGGAGGGGCTTCAAGTAGCCTTGCCCCTTCAGAGTGCTTCGAATCGTCTCTTGGACCCCTCTTGGAGCGCTCTTGGGGCGCTTTTGGGCGCTCTTGGGGCCGTCGTGGGGCTCATCGGAAGCGAAAGGACGAAAAGGCAAACGTCATTGATTTTCCCAAGGTGTTTGAAGGACATGGGCCTCTTGGCGGCCTCCTGGGGAGGCTCCGTGGCCACTTGGAGCGGTCTTTGGGGCTCTGGGAGCATCTTGGGAACCATATTGAGCCATCTTGGGCTATCTTGAGCCATTTTGGAGGTCATCTTGGGCTCTCTGAGGCCCTCTCTGGGGCTCTCCGAGGCCCTCTGAGGCCTCGTCTTTGGATGGACAGCTACTTGGAACCAAGCCGACCCCAGGTGCGCGACGCTTGGGCGAGGTGCGCCACGCGTGCCAGGGGCGCCACGCGCGCCAGGCACCCCTGGGGCCCGAGCGTGCCAGGCACGCCTGGTGTGCCAGATGCGTCACGTGCTCTGAGTGCGCCAGGTGTGCCACACTCCAGCCGCGCCAGGTGCGCCATGTTCGTGGCGCGTGCAGAGTGCGTCAGGTGCGCCTGCGCACGTGACAGCACACATCGAGAACCATTGCGGCCCCCGCCATCCTTGTCGATAACCAATGCCCATCATTGTGTCTCGTGGGCCTTGATGCGGCACCGTCCACGAACGTACTACTTCAGGGCAATAGCCACTTGGCCCGAGGTATTGTGGACGCTGTGCGTTTGTAGTCTGTCCGACAATCTTTCCACTACAGCCACCACTCATCGCCCTCGGCAGTACCAACGTGTGAGTGCCGAGCCAGGTGGAGCAAGGCACAAGCCCAAGTGGCAAAGTCCCCGTGACTATTTGGTCACGCAGATTTTGCGCATGCATGCGGCTTTGTTTGATTCTGCTGGCAGGAGGAAAGGGAGGAGACAGGAGGAAGAGTAGAAGGAACACGGGGAGAACAGCATCTCATTTTTAGCCATCCATTTCCACTTGTGCTCAAGTCACGATCGGCCCGTGCATTCTACGCTGCACCACGCATACACGTATTGAACTTCGAGCCCGAAACGGTCCCCTAGTCTTCTGGTCTGCAAGATGGTAGCAGACCAGCAGATCGGGACCATGCTCCTGGTGGTGTTAGCCACAAGCATACCCAGCGCAGCATCGCTCAAGACGCAGACCTTCACCAACACCTCGCAGGCGGCTGGCTCAGGAGCGTCGTGCACGCTGGCCGACACCTCTGGCTGCCAGGACAAAGACGTCATTTTGTACAACCCGGTGACGAACGGAGACGGGAGCGTCCAGGGGTTGGTGCTCATTCAAGACGTTTCGCGTTCACCGCCCGCCCTTTTTAAGCAGTTCCTCGCCCGACGAGTTGAGCATGTATGGAATAAAGGCCGTGCGGAGTCGAAGTACAACATGTGCATCCTAACTGTTCGACATTTCCAAGAGACAGCTCATTCCTGGGCCTCCCAGATGGGGTCGGAGTAGATGGGGTCGGAGGATCGCGCCGCTGGAGTCCGATTTTCTCCACGCCGACGTCGCCGAGGCATTGCCGATGCACCGGCGATGCGGCGCAGTCCTCCGACCACATCTGCTCGGACCCCGTCGGGGAGGCCTCTGCCAATGGGCCTCAAAAAGGCCCGACAGAGAGGTTCGAGGGCGCAGTCTCGAGGTTCGAGGTTCGTGGCCAGGGAGGAGAAGGGGGGATGATGATGATGATGATGATGATGATGATGATGGTGGTGGTGATGGTGGTGGTGATGATCATGATGATGAGGACGATGACGATGATGATGATGATGATGATGATGAAGATGATGACGGTGATGATGACGATGATGATGATGATGATGGTGATGATGATGGTGATGATGATGATGATGATGATGGTGGTTATGATGATGATGGGGACAAATATGGTGGTGATGGCGATGAAGATGACGATGCTGCTGATGATGATACTGATGATGATGGTACTGATAGTGATGACGCTGATGATGGTGATGATGATGAGGATGAGGATGATGATGATGACGATGATGATGACGTTGATGATGATGGTGATGATGATGATGATTCTGTCGATGCTGATGATGATGAAGATGATGATGATGATGATGATGATGATGATGATGATATGATTGCTGATGATATGATGATGATGATAATGATGATGATGATGCTGAATTGATGATGATGATGATGATGATGATGATGATGATGATGATGGTGATGATGATGATGATGATGATGATGGTGGTATTGATGATTCTGATGATGATGATTCTGATGATTGAGGTTTATAACGATGATTGTGATGATGAAAATTATGACGATGATGATGATGGTGCTGATGATGCTGATGCTGATGCTGATGCTGATGATGATGATGGTGATGATGATGATGCTGCTGATGATGGTGATTATGATGATGATGATGATGATGATGATGATGATGATGCTGATGCTGAAGCTGATCATGATGATGATAATCATGATGGTCGTGGTGGTGGTGATGAGGATGAGGATGAGGATGAGGATGATGCTGATGCTGATGCTGATGCTGATGCAGCTTCTGCTGCTGATGATGATGATGATGATGATGAGGATACTGATTATAACAATAATGAAAATACTAATGATAATAAGAATGATGATAATATTTATAACAATAATCATCATATTAACACTAATCTTAATACTGATAATCATACTAATCATACAAATAAGAATAATGGTGATACTAATGATGATGCTAATAATAGGAATAACAATAATAATAATACCAATAGTAGTAGTAGTAGTAGAAGTAGTAGTAGGAGGAGGAGGAGGAGAAGGAGGAGGAGTAGTAGTAGTAATACTACTAATATTATTATTAATACTAATGCTAATACTAATATTAATACTAATACGAATACTAATACTAATACTAATACTAATACTAATGCTAATACTAAATACTAATACTAATACCAGTACTAATACTAATACTAATACCAATACTAATACTAATACTAATACTAATACTAATAATAATACTAAGACTAATACTAATACTAATACTAATAGTAATAGTAATCGTATTACTACTACTAATACGAATTATAATGTTATTACTGAATAATACTTATAATATTAATACAAATACTAATAACAACAACGATAATTATAATATCAGTAATAATAACAACAACACTACTAGTAATAATAGTAAGAATGGTACTAATACGAGTCCTAATAAGAAGAAGGAAGAAGGAGGAGAAGGAGGAGGAGGAGGAGCGAAACATCGCCTGGGACCAAGGGTTCCGGAGACAGAGCCCCAGAAGGGGCTCGAGGCGCGCCGGGAGGGCCTCTCGCCGCAG